TACTTAAATAAAACTTCTTTTAAGTAAAGAAAGTCCATCTCTAAAATACCGGTACAATTGAAGCTCAAAGAAACAGGACTAATAAAACGGAGTTTGCTCCACATTATTATATAAATAAACACCTCAGATCGCGATAGGAAAGGGTGATAGGCATCACAGCAAACACCGGGCCATTGTGACTGTTAAATTTGTTTCGCTATTCCGATCTCCTTACCAGATAATTACGATTGTAAAGACGCCTTTGTTGGATATGTAAACCCCCTTATCAGTAAGATGCTGAATTCCGCTCAGGTATTAGAAGCCGATATGTTTGTCCCTTAATTAAAAACCACTGAACAGATTAAGACCAATACTATGTATATTTTCATACCATACATATATATCAATATTATGAATTTTATATACTTTTCCAATATTTTCAGTTTAATATATTTTTAGTTCGTATTTCTTATATTTTTAATAAAGAAATTGCTTGTGTATGTATAATTTTAATAACTTAAATATAAATTACTATAACATTATAAACACATGTCATTTCTCTGTCAATACGATTGTGCACCAGTTATAAGAATATTCGTTGGAAAAAATCCTTTATGTCCGGCCCTTTATGCCTTAATGCTTTCTTAGATGAACCCAGCAAACATCTGCTGCACGCCTACATGACGCTGTTTGCGATTTGTTATCTATAGACGTTCATTCAATCTGGAATTTATTATCTATGATCGTAACGAATCTGTTGCTTTATCATTTTTTTTTATTGGCTAAATTAAAATAAACTATAATCCTAATTTTTTAAAACCAAATTATTAAATAAACAAACATCAGTTTGTTTATTTAATAATAATATATAAATATTCGATTGCTGGATAAGAAATGGCTTAAAACAAATAATATTTATATCGTAAAAAAATCAAATATCGCATAATATTTTCTTCAAATATTATCAATTATCATTACCTAAATTGATATCGAAACCCTTTTTATAAAATATGAAAAGCTCTATTAACACCCGCATAGTACATTTAATCAGCGACAATTATTTTATTTTCATAAAAGATAAATATGGCGCGAACTAATGCGGGCAGACCAACGATCACCCTTTACTCGAGCTTAATAGCCCGTAATGAAATACGTCATGCGTTCACAATTCAGTGGAATCGATTTTATTGGATTTGATTGAAATCATTAATATATTAGAAGATTTTTGGTAGCGGCTACAGATTGTGAGTTTCAATATTTTATCTACTCGATTGTCTTTTCAATTACATCGATATATGTAGTTTTTTTTTATAACAAGACTTACAGCTAACCCTCGTACGCCTAGGTTACTCACGCATTTTCCAGTTTTTTTTTGCGATTTACTAATATTATATGAAAGTGTTCGAATAATTAATAGTTATTATCTCACCTCGATATTTAAATTTAGATCATCATAATCTTTCTAACATCCTAGTCAGTACACCTTGGAAATAAAGGTAAATAGCAAATTGCTATAACAACACTAAATTTTACCACTAACTATTACTAAGTCCCATATATTATATAATTAAACATTAATATACAAACAAAAGAATACATAATATTATTTATTTCTGCAATTAGAAATAATAAAATGGTTTATGGCCGCGCGTCGTAGTGGCGCCCGCGCCGGCGACGTTCATTACGGCAGATGGGACATTGATTTAGCAGGTCAAATCTGTTGACATCAACATCAATACTATTTGAGATGATGTTTCTACCATTGATTCACTAGATTTGCTTTAATTATTTTTGGGGAACCAGTTTCGCTGATTCATTTTTACTCGGAAGTTATTTTATGTATCTAAACTTAGGTACAATATTAAATGAGCAATTCCTGTATATATATATATATATATATATATATATATATATATATATATATATATATATATATATATTTATATAGGGTAATTAATGCTCTTTAAGTTTATAAACTTATATATATATATATATATATATGTATTTTCTAAAAAAACAATTATTATTTCTTATCCGAAGAAACATCTAGCGAAGATCGGTCACTCGATACTTAATATTCATATTTATTATTGATGACTGTAAGCGTGCTATTATTGGTTGGGACATCATTTTCATATATTTCTGATGCAAAATCCTCTAAAATAACATATTTTGAATATCTGTTTATATGGAATCGTATTCCTTCCTTCAGTTAAAGAATACCTTTAAAATGAAATTACTTCTCAAATTTAATTATCTATCCGTGGTAATCCATATAACAATTATATTAAGTTTTCTTAATATGTGTAATACGTGTTCTAAAACTTACTCATGCGCAGATATTTCAAAATAAGCTTTTCAAATATCCTTTGCAATCAGTGATAATTATGATAAAGATAGGTTTAACGCTAAAAGGCAATATGTTTTACACATAATTTTCATGACAGATAATACCTATCGGTATGAAACAAACGTGTACCCAGCACTCACCAATTACTCCGATTCATTAAGTCCATCTTATTCTTCGGCCATTCAGACCGGGGTCGTATCAATTAAAGTATATTACATTGTTACAAGCGAGCGTAGGGTTAATTGCTATTGGGCGATCTTAACGTGATCTTGGACCAAAGATCAACTTGGATATTTGTTGCGCACCTTTCCATTTCAGCGGTTTAGCATTAATGACTTACAAGTTACACACGTAATTATTCAATTCGTTAATTGTAAGTGAATAATTTAATTCATTTTTTTTTTTTAATTTTTTTTTAAGTATAAGTAATTCTGGTATAATTGCATAATAAAAATTACAGAAACAGTATAGAGCTAAATAAATCCGTTTTAACTGTACTTACCGAAAATAAAAAAAAAACAGATTAAGTCTTGTCACGCTTATATTATTTTAAATAATAAAAAAAAGAATATCAGCATTATTAAAAAAAAACTTAGTTCTATAAAATTATCCTGATATTCGTGTTAGCTCTGTAATTTTCTCTGTTCTATGAAATGAAACAAACTAGATGCTTGAAAATTAAGCGCTCGAGATAAAGACCCTACTACGCGAGAAATAAAAAATAAAAATATTTAGAATAGAAAACTCATACTTAATAGAGCAAGTCTTATTCAGAATTTATCAATTACGTCCATCACAAACAGCTGCTACAATTAATGCAAGTGAACACAATTGTGGTTGCGTCACCGGGAGGCGTGGACCACGAATTAGAATTGATAGATAGCTACTGAACTAGGCCGCAGACTTTAAAGCTAGATCGACTTAGAATCCATTACAATTAATTAAAATTTAATTATAAACTATTTTTCTTGATTTTTTAATACTCGAAGTTACTAATTTTGTTATGATAATATATATATATATACATATATATATATATATATATATATATATAAAGACAAGCTTATCTATAGGTAAAGGCAAAATCTAACATTTAAACAAGAAATAATTGAATTTTATTGATGTTCATTGAAAATAATTTTTCATATAATATTATATCTTCACTCATCCATTGTTCTTTTTAACAATTATGTAAAATACTTGCTATACATTTTATTGGCATTCATTAAACTGTACTTATGCATGTTTATTCATATCTAGTCACGAAATAGTTTAGAGTCTTATAAATAACTTTTATTTTCATTTCCACAGCTGGTAACTAATAAATAAACTGTTTTTCATAGCGTAATTGCTATCCATCTACAATTAGGTTAATTTTTAATTACACCTCACGAACTGTCAGTTAAATTTTTTTTAATTGGACTTTTTATTACAGTGACACGTCTTGTAAACGGCCAATTGAGAATTACTTCTACTATTGAGCCTATTATCATAAGTGGGCCAAGAACAGTATGGTAATTTGAGATGGGTTTTAACCGACTTTAAAAATAAAAGATCACGTTTAATCTGTATCAAGAATTGAATTTATTTCATTTTGAATTATTAAAAGACTTTAAGCTTTAAGTTAAATTTAGCTAGCACCTAAAACTTCCATACATTCAAAAAGCCATACAGATATGTTGGGACATTACCACACCACACCATCTAGTTCCATGGTAAGCTACAAGGCCTGTGTTATGGATACTAGATAGTTGATACACTACACATATGTGTATAACTTTAGATATATAAATATTATATATTATAAATATAAACACCCATGACTGAAGTACAAACATTCGTGCTCGTCACACAAATGAATGCCCCCAGCGGGACTCGAACCCGCGACCGCTGGCTCAGCAAGTAGAGTCACTACAAACTGAGCCAAGCGTGTCGTTAAATTTATGTCTATCTACGTCTGAAGAACGATACGCCGTCTAATCCTTCCGGTATACAACCCCTAAAATAAAAACGTATCAACATAATAGCCCGTGAACGGTCGCAGACCGTCTTAATGCGATTAGATCCCTAGTATTGTACATTAATATTTTTTATTGTTATTCGGAGGCGAAATGACGCGGTAAACAAAACGGTGATTATGATACCAGATGTACACTGAATGTGGAAGGAAATTGCTGAGATAGTAATAGAGAATGTAATTTATTAACCTTGTAGTGCAGTGCGAGATTAGACCGACTGTATTTACTATGTAAGAGGTCATATGTTCTAACCTAGCTGTAAACATTAATAACTAAGCTTAAATTATCTGATCAAGATATAGAGCATTCAACGATGGCAAATGACTCCCATTATTTTTTCTCATCCTGACCTTCTATTCTGTTATTTGTAAGAAAAAAAATATTTATATTTAAATATCCTTATTTTACTATATAATTTCCAGAAAAAAGCAATAGCTATATAATTGTTAAAGTTGTTGAAATACAATTTAAATAACAAATATAGTGTTAATTTGTGTAGATTGATAGTTATGTCAATGATAACTATTCGTAGTTGTTTTTGTTGTAAATATTTGATCAGTTATTAAGAAACAGCTATTAAAAAGAAAAAAGTAATTAAGTAACAAGTGTTACCTAAACTAAATGTGTTATTAGGGTAATTGTTTACCACTAACATGCTAATTGATCAAGGGGCCGTTACAATGAACGAATGGCCACGTACGTATACTTGATTACCTCACATAACACCTTATTACTTTTACAGCGTTTACATTATGAAATATTTAAACGTGTTTAATGTACCGAAGACATTTTCTTTTATCTACCTGCGTTTTGTTTATCCCATTTATTTTTTTAAATCATTTATTACAAGGGGGAAAGTTGCTTTATTTAGTTTAAATTTAAACCAGTTACGAACTTAAATTATAATAATTAGTAACCTTTGAATAACTAAGTAACCATATTATTTATCTCTTACAGACGCCTGCGGGTTATCAGACGTCCCACACATAGAAAGCCTGCAAGAAAAATCACAATGCGCCCTCGAAGAGTATTGTCGGAGTCAATATCCAAACCAACCAACGAGATTTGGCAAACTTCTTTTACGACTACCATCGTTACGGACTGTAAGCTCCCAAGTTATAGAACAGTTGTTTTTCGTCAGATTAGTTGGTAAGACACCGATAGAAACTTTGATTAGAGATATGCTCTTATCCGGAAGCTCCTTCTCGTGGCCATATATGGCGACCATGTGACATACAATGTGGAGACAGCTCGCGGCCGCCTGATCCACGCCTTACGGCTTCCCGCCGTACTTGCCCAGTCAGTTCGACTTTCAGAGATATCAACGAGAAGCGCCCGAAGATGCTGTAACGTCCTCTAGCGAGTTCCAGGACACGGAGCCGACGACATCCGAAGATTACTATGGATCGCGGAACAGAGACAGTGATAGAATCGATCCTTGTCCAACGTTCGATCCAATATCGGCGTTCTACCCGCCAAAAACAAATGAGCACGACTTTGAAACGAATTGCGATCAAAAAAACGCTCAAAAAACGTCTATGATGATCGACAACCTCCTCAACATTAGAAGTGAGTCTTGTTCCCAAGCGGACATAAAATGAACTCTAAGGTATTTTGGGGTCAGTAGTGACATAGTTCAAGTTATTTTGTTCCTCTGTAATATATTTAGACTTAGATATATTTAATATTGTAAATAAAATGTTTTTATTATATTGTAAATGTATATTTAATGTGATAAGGTACAAGAGGCATGTTTTCTACGATGTTCATGATGAATGCTCTTTAGACAATATTATCCTTCGACGGAATTGATTTTTACTATGGACTTGTTTTTCTGTAAAGAATAAATTATTAAGGGACCGAGAGTGAGATATCTTGGATTGAAATAACGCAATAAATATGAAATGTGCAATTTATATTATATATAAAACAACATACATACATACATATATAATCTAAAAACTTTTTTTGTATTCAAAATATTTAAATTTTTTTTGATTTGATATTTTAATGTAAACCAAGGGATTTAAATTATGTTTTTATTTTTTATCATGTAATAGGGTTTCAAATTATTTCCACTGGTGCTTAAAATTAAGCGTAAAAATTGTAATTAAACCTGTCACTATGTACAAATGTATAATTCCGAGAAAGCATTTATCGTAACGTTTTAAAAGTTTGTAAGCAATATTAATGTTAATTTGTGTGTAAAGTTTTTATATGATTTTATTTAGTTTTCTTTCGCTAACGTGTTTATAAAAGACGAATCATTTTCATGATTAAAACCTGAGTCAATTTTAAGCCCAGTAACTTCTTTTACACATGGGTTTTGTAATATTTGTACACTTTATTTATATTACATTTAAGGTCCAAATTTTAGCCATGTTTTATTGTGACAATATATCCTTATATTTATTTTTCAAATTACACTACATTTCAAGCTAAAAGTAGCTGTTATTTGTTAATTTCTTTATCCCTAAATATCTTTTTAAATCAAATATAATAATTATTTCGATTAATATCAAACAATTGAGCAAATCTCATTTATAATTTCAATTAAACAATTTAAAAACTATATATTTTCTACTTTTTTCACTATTGTGAAAACTCCTGCCAAATCTGTACGTGTAAAAGAGAAGCAACGTATTTATTCGCAATAATTGTACAGAGGGTGTAAGTATAGAGTCGGTGTGTTTGAAGCTGTATGAGACGTAATTGACAAATAAAAAAAATGTCTTTATGCTTTCTGTTGTTTTATTTTACGAGCTATTTAAGTGGCTAAAATTTAATGTTTTTAACAACATATCAACTATCCTTAATCGTAAATATGTTTGTTCGTTTGTTTATCGTTTCGTCATAAAGTTACCTTTTTAAGTCACTTTTGATGTAATTTTTTGAATAGATATATAGTCCAAGGAGATGTAAGATCTAATGTGGATACTATCAAATGGTCATTAGAATCCTTAATTTCTTTTTAATAAATACCCTCAGCCTGGTAGAAACAAAAAACATAAATGAGACAATAGGTGGCAAACGTAGAAACAGCTTTAGAGACATACAGTTATCGTAGCAAGTTTAAAATTTACAATCACTTATCTTCAATATATACTGAATTAAACTTAGAACATTTTTTAAAGCTTAAGAAACTTAAGAAGTTTATTATGAAATTTTAATTTAGGTAAAAAAAATCTGAATGTAACATAAAACGATAAAGCTAAAAATATATCAATAATACAAACTTTCATTGAATACGAACAGTAATTAATTAGAAACACTACTGTTCCCACGTGCTCCGTCAGCACGCACAAATCACAGATCGCGTGCGCACCTGTTGCACGCAACGCATTCCCATACACTCACCCACAAAAATACATCAAAGAATTTTTGAAATTTTTTTTTGACATCGTTCATGTTTGTTATTTACTTGATTATTATTTTTTTGTTTTGGAAATAGCGATTATAAAAACATCTATAAAAATATACAATAAATGATACTGAATGAAATGAAATTAACGTACTAAATTTACTTTTCGAATAGGTACATACGTAACGCAGTCGTATTAATATTTTTGCTTTACAAAAAAAGGGCGGAAGTACCAGACTACGTCTAAGGCTATTAGTATTAAACCTAACAGAGCTTTAAGAAAAAAAAAATTTTAAAACTAGGTCAAAAAGCTACTATTATGTATGGTACTCGTCAAAACAAATAAATTCTACTCGTTAGGCTTCAAATCTGGCTTGTAATAATAACCAATAAAGAGTTCCACTTTACGAAAGATACGAACTGATCAACTCGTTTCATATCATTGTAATGTCATTTTCAGTTTGTAATCGTATGTTAAAATTGTCCTTTATAATCGGGGGCACGGCAGTGCCCCCGCCAAGTCGAGCTTCTAAGTTTTAAAGTCTTGTAAAAATGTCTTTTATAGTACTAAATAAATCCAACAAAATATTATTACTTAAATAATAAATATAAAAACAAATATTAAAACAGAAAGCAAAACTGATGACTAGAGAGCTGATTTGTTTTTTGCACAAAGAATTCGTATTACCAATCAACGGAAGAATGCTAGCTGCATTCCCGCTTCTTGCTAAAATTACACACGGACATGACTTGTATTGTAATTATTAAGTGTACAATTACATTTTAAATGAAACTATCTTTTCGGACTTTGTCGTGATTTTATTTTATATTTTGTTTCCCGATGTACCTACCTATCTAAGAGAATATTTAATCTATATCAATAAAAATGAATGTTGGGAAGCGCATAACTCAAGAATGGCTGGACCAATTCGGCTAATTTTTTTTCGTATGTTCCTTACGGTCCACGAAAGGTTTTAATAAAGAGAAAAAATGAAAAATTAACGGAAAAAATAATTTAAACTTATATGGTTAACGCTGGCTAGTACCTATTTATATCTATTTAAAATACTTATAAAATATGTAGTTTCATTAATAACAAACACTGATACTAATTAGAACAATTTGCACATACCAACATGCTTGGAATCTACAAATAGACCATACGTACATATGTTAATATGAATAATTAATATCTCTAGGTTGTTAGATTAACGTTGTTAACATAGTTTAAAACTGAGATTACAAGTGAAACGACTATATTATACATATTATGTTCAAAATACGTTTAGGAATTAAAACATAAAATTATATGTAAGACATTTAAACACAAGATCCGACCACCTGCGAACAAACATGCCACCTGCTGTATGGTTGACGATATGGGAAGCATAAATTTAGTACTCGTAGAGCAAATGACGTAGCTTTATTCTACTAAAACTAAAGTTTGTTCCATATGCGTGTTTCTGAATCACTTATATAATGTATTAGCCTCCAAGAGGCAAATTTATTAAACCCTGACGCAAAAAGAGGTGTGTTATATGTTTAGCGTGAGTATCTGTGTGTCTGTCTGTGGCATCGTAGCGCCCTAACGGATGAACCGATTTTAACTTTTTTGTTTGAAAGATAACATAATTTATTGAGAGTGTTCTTAGCTATAGCTTAATCAAGAAAATCCGTTCAGCCGTTTGCAGGCTACCAGCTCTTTTCTAGACGGTGAAACGATACGAGCAACTTCTACAAATATAATTCCTACGAAACTTGGTATTCTGTTAGTTGTTTTTGTGAGTTATTTTAATATATTTGTATTTAATTACTCTTGTAACGGCAAAAAAACGGCAAAAAGGCAGTGGTAGCCCAGTGGAAGGCTGTGGTAGCCCAGTGGTAACGCGCTCGCTTGGGAAACCGAGTGAAGTGGGTTCAAATCCCGGGTCTCGCACCTCTGATATTCTCATGTGCGAATCATTTTCTAAATTACCACTTGCCTTACGGTGAAGGAAAACATCGTGAGGATATCTGCATGTCTGAAAGAACCTAGCAAGTTTTCGAAAGACATGTGAAGTCCACCAACCCGCACTTGGCCAGCGTGGTGGACTATGGCCTAATCCCACACGTATTGAAGGGAGGCCCGTGCCTAGCAGTGGGGTCAAAAAGGGCTGAATACAAACACACTCTTGTAACAATAATCTACGTTACGTTGCAAAAATTTATATAAATGGTCTATTTTATAACTATTCTGTAAGATATTATATAAGGAACGCGAGAATTATGAATGGAGTGAATCATTGTAAGGAAATAATTCATTAAGTGCAAGATAGAATATGATGCAGGATTTATGCTAAGAATTTATCAATTAAATATCAACACCAGAAACATTTAAATGTGTTATGTATTTAAAATAATTAAACTTATACATAACTAGCGACTTACCCTGGCTCCGCTCGGGTTCGTCCCTAGATACGTTTTGACGGTTAGTATAGATTTCTCAGAGATGAGATATTTTCCCACAATAAAAAGCATCCTATATGCCATCAGATCAATATATCCCTGTGGTTTGTCAGACAGACAGACAGACAAAAATTCTAAAAACTATAGATTCAGCCTCTGTATCGATAATAATGACTATTTCAATAAGATCTTTCACAAAATATTTAATATATAGATTCGACTCAGAATTTTATTATATCTACCATAGGTAGATATAACAATGTACTTATAATTTATACCTTAACCATTCTTCCCATAACTGCTGATAATTAATTCTCCTCGAATTGCCTAATTTTGCACTTAACCTGCAACGCTACAACCAGGTGTACTAAATAGAATCTGTTCAGGTTAAAAGTCAGCACTAGTCACGTCAAAAATCACGCACGATTGATATAATTGATGTTAGTTCCGTTAGAATTTAAGTACGAGTATGTATTTAATGGTTTATTTTATGAAATTAAAACGTTTATGTGATTTCATTATGTCATGAAAATATTGTCAAGCCTTTTTTATAGTCTAAAATCTTCATTGTAAACATGTATAGTCCATAGTCACGAGCATAGATTGTTCTCTAAATATTAGTTTTACGTTTTTAACACTTTAAAAGTTTGATAATAGCAATAAATTATCTGGTATCCATAACACAAGCCTCGTAGCTTACCATGGAACTAGATAGTAGGTACTGAGTGTTAATTTCCCAACATATTTATTTATTTATAATATTGTAATGAGTCTTTCTAAATAATAACTATA